TTCTTATTTGATATACCAGTTTGTATAAGTATACGAGCTTATTTTCCTTTCTTAGCGAGCATTTATTGCTTTTAGGTACATATTTTGTATATATAGGTTTAATATATAGGTTGTATTTCTTATGTTTTTCGACCGAATAACCTATTTAAATTCTGTAATTAGCCATGTTCGCTGGGCCGTCCTTCTGTCTGTCCGTTCATATGAACGTCAAGATCTCGGGATCTATAAAAGCCTCTATAAAAAGTTCTCATCTCACTGGACTATAAATGTATATACAATATGTATGTATGTATAAATAATATATTTATAATATATATAATATATATTCTTGCCAGTTCTGTCTGTTCGCCTGTATGAACGTCAAGATCTCAGAAGCTATAAAAGCTAAAAAGTTGAGATAAAGCAGGCAGATTCCAGAGACATAGACTGAGCGCAAGTTCGTGTTCTAATGTTGCCACGCTCACTTTAATGCCCCATTTTTTTTCAGTTTCTTATTAGTCTTGAAATTCCTACCGATTTGGTAACAACAATTTTTCCACGCTCACACTACCAAACACAATTGACAATTTTTTTTTAATCTTTCGTTTTATTATTTATCTTACCAAGTTCAATCAGTAGTATGTGGTAGTAAAGCAATGCAAACAAGATAGAAAGCTACTTTTACGAACCCGAAGATTATGCAGTAATTAGAAAGTTAAGAAAGTGTGTTTGTTGAACAATTTTATTTTCAATAAATTTTTGTTATATTTTTCCTTTAGCAACATTATAATATAGGAGTACGATCCAGGATGTTCCGACTTACACGCATATGTAAATTCCCTGCAATAGAAGGAAAACTCGCGAGAAAGCCTAATGCAGATAGCTTAAGCGAAAGAAGCAGAAAGCTTTTCCAAATTCTGACGAATGATGAGACGGACATGGCCATTTTGAGAAGGCTATTGGTACTGATCAAGAAAATATACATAAGCTTTAAATGGTCGCATTTGTCTCAAATTATTATACCACCTGCAAGGGCATAAAAATGCAAGATAGATACATTCAAAAAAAGCCAATATTATTTAACTGATCGCAGTCGTTCCCAAATTCAACCCCTAAATTAGCCAAAATGCAAAAATGTCCACAAAAACCTTGACCATTGTGCTCGAGTCTTAAAAGCTTCGGGAATTTTTTATTGGTCAAAACGACTAAACAATAACGCTAGATAATAACGTCAGAATTGTGGAAAGACTTTATAATTGTGAGCCAGTTCTTACAAAAAATAAATGTTGCTCCTGTTAGTGTTGTTCCGTATTCCGTGTTGTTGCTGTATTTCCCATTGCTGGTCATAAAAATGTACGATTATTGCTTTCACATTTTTCATGTGGGCTAATATAAAAAAAGCTATTTTTCACACGAATTTGAGTCATTGGATGATTTCGCTCGTATCGCGATCCCCGTCCAACGTACTAAGGATATGTCTCCCAAAATTTTATTGAAATCCGGTGATGGAATCCACCCCAAAAAAGTTCGCGAATTGCAGTGGAAAATCACATTTAATCGGTCGCCAGCAGCGTATACCACTCATAACTCCACGCGGTGCCAGGACAAGGCTGGGACACGGACATGCACACAAATCCGTAGGGCGATGGGCATCGACGATGGCATTCCCATTGTTGTAGTGTTGGAGGTTTTGGGACAATTGTCAGGCAATAAATCGATGTGTGTAGGGCTGTAAATTTTTGGCGGATGGCCGATGAAAAAGTGCATATTATGCAATTCGACAATACGCCAAACATGTCGACCTACGCACAACCACCCCTTTGGAAGCCATCCCGTTACCAGACCCCCTTCGACCCATGGCCATGGCAACGCAGCGGAAACGGAAGCCAACACACAAGTTCTTCTCTTCTCTTCTCTCTTCTTCATCTTCGGCCTGCAACAGCGCTTTGCATATCAATGAAAATGCATAAATTTTTATTCGCCCTCAATTTCAGTGGCGTTTTTTCCTTCTGCGCGGTGCCTGTTCGGTTGCACTCGTTGCTCGTTGCATCCTTGCCCGTCGTCCGTCGTCCGTCGTCCGTCGTCCGTTGCCCAATCCTGTCGTCCATCAAGGGGCATAAATCAGCTTGGAGGTAGCGGCCGGGCACAAGGAAAAAAGAATTACCTACACGTAACGTAGCGTAGCTCCGGAAGTTTCTGAATAAAATGGACCCATCCTCGGAAGATCAGTTCTTTGGACATCCTCTTTGACGAAACGGTATCCATGCACCAGGCCAAAAGCACTAAAAATACCCAAAAATTCAACATAGTTTCCTGGACACTCGTGCAACTCGAACTGGATCATCGTCGCCCGCATCATCGTTGGGCGTAACATTCAAATGGTTTTCAAAGCTATCCAAATTGTACAAAATCTACTGCAAAGATAGTTGGCGAACTAATATATATTTCTCTAAAAACGAAGCAGACACAATGTATTTCCTTTGCAAATGATTTGTGTAAAGCTCAAGATAACTTGCAATTAAGGGAGCCAATGCGAGGCTTTTAGAATATGAAACAAAAATATTAGATCCGATATTTAAATAAGAAGAACCGTTTTACTTAAAAAACTTTTCGTTCTTATTTGAAAAGTACAAATTGTTATGTTCAACATCCAAACGTTCTTTATTTTGGGAAAATAATGTTATTTTGCAACCAATAGGCTATTATTAGTCTATATACATACATAACAACTTACATAACTATCTTTTGTCCTTAAAAATTAAATTATCAAACCTTTTTAAAGTGTTTTCAATATTCATGTAGATGTAAATACTCGGTGTCGAATTTACATAACTTTAACGGCATTTAACGTAGTTTGCAATCTTTTGACTTAGTACATTTTTAAAGAGTTTGTTCAGCGTATTATTTTGTTTGATTTGGTAAAGTTAGACTAGGTTCTAAAAAGTTTTGGGGATCAAGTAAACTATAATATCCAATAACAATAGCACTTCACATTCCTTACACTCTTCTGGTGCTATGTCACCTATTAATGGTAAACCGTCTATAAAGGAAGCATCTTCTGGTGCAGTAATTTTTTAATACAATTTTTTTTAACGATTTAAAATTATTTTGACGGAATTATTATTTTTGGTTCCCCGAATGGCAACTATGCTGTTCTAGAATTAATTTCATCCAAAGTTATTATTTTGTTTCATATTATCGATTGGATTGTCATACATGAGTACTTCAGTGATATCTGCCATTCTACATATATAACCCCGTTAACGGGAATAATAGGTATATATCGTGATTTTTTTATTATTTCATAGAACTCCGGGTTTACTGAGAAGTGAGCTCAAAGAAGAAACACAAAATAAAGCTAAACTCATAATAAAGAAGTGCACATGTTAAAGCGAATCCTTCCCAAATTGGCCTTGAGTGCCATATAGCGGTATTTGCATTAATTGCAATTGGCAAGTCAAATAATAAAATACAAAAAATTATAACATTTTTCAAAACTAAAGCACTGACTTTTTTGGGCGAATACGGCGAATACTTTACTTGAATGTGTGTATGCTCTTATAGTTCCCGAGATCTCTACGTTTATACAGGTCCTTCTAACTGTTACGAATTTATTCTACCCTTTTACTCTATGAACAACAGTCGCTCTTCTTTTAAGTTGATAGGTATACCTAGAATTTAAGCTTTAACAAAAAGTGAATTACAATCAACAATATTTTGAAATTGTAATTATTTTGTTGGGTATCTGCTTCACATTTTTGTGCGCGACTGTGTGTGCGACTTTTTTCGATATATAAATTCGTAATTCAATACATTAACTGATTTTGTAGCCGTTTTCAGGTTTGCCATTAGCAAAGAGTTTGGAATATTCCGCAAAGTGCTAGTAATCACCAATACCACCAATCCCCTTCTCAGCGGATCTCAATTTGGTGCACGCCCTTTGCGTCTGGCAAAGTCAACACGGTAGGCGGAGAAATAACAGCAGATGAGTTCTTGAAGTCTTACACAGCTGGCAAATATTTAAGTCTGGCAAACGCCGGCGACGGCTTTTTAATTTTTTCTAATTTTATTGTTGACATGGCGGTGTTGGAGCCACACAAGACATCTGTCCCAGGAAGCGTTTTCTAGTTTACCGACATGCAACGCTATCGTCTGTTTGCCCACCCACATGTGTATACTTTTTAGTTCGCCGGAATCTTTTCTTGATGTAGACTTTTGGTTGTGTTAACGGTTAAAATTTCTAGATGAAGATCCAACACTAGCTACAATTTTAGAGTAGAGATCCAGATTCCTGAAGATGTAGCACATTACAAATTACACAGTTTTTGTACCCGTTACTCGAAGAGTTAAGGGGTATACTAGATTCGTGGAAAAGTATGTAACAGGCAGAAAGAAGCGTTTCCGAACATGTAAAATATATATATTCTTGATCAGGATCAATAGCAGAGTCGATCACGGCAGAGGTGATCAAGTCGATTCATTTTATTTTAATTTTTATAGTATATATAGTATAGAATATCCAAAAAATATTTTTTCCACCTCCACTCTACTGCTCAAACTGCCACACCTACACTTTGCGAATCTTATCGGTTTACCATAAACATATTAACCACGTCCTTGCTAGCGCTCAGCAATACATTCCGAGAATTTTTTTTTAATTTTTATAAGTTGTATTAATTTGTTCCCAATTTCTATTGATATGCAAAGAAATTGTAAAATGTAACTAATCGTCCTTTAGTGTTTATTTTATGAAATATATTTTTTGCGCTCCCTTACTAGCTGAGTAACGGGTAGCTGATAGTCGAGGAGAACGAGTCGGTCGGCCATGTCAGTACTTAGTATGTGTCATAACTAATGTTCCAAGCCCTCTGCCAAAAACGAATTACTAAAAATAGCTATTTGGTTTGAACTTTGACCGGGTTTTCCGATAATCACCGCAGCTCGTCGCAACTCGATAGTCAGATAAGATCTCAAACATGATTTACCGTTAAGCTCTGTTGCCCTTAGCCAAAATCATCAGTATCATTTCGGACGGCAAGTCGGCAGCTTAAAAAAAATTATTCATGAATAACTCCCGCATTCTGAGGACTACAAATGTTGTGCTCTTACTTATGGGTTATCAAAGGCATTGGTTTGAAAAAAAGGAGCATAGATTCCGATTGTCCATTCCCAGTGTACTTTACATATTTTTCCTCGGAGTTGTGTATGCCGCGTGCTTCTCCCAACATTTTGATACGTCGTCGTCTACACTGAAAGTCTTGAAAGATACATCACCTTTCTTATTTGGATTAATCAGGATGCATCTTGTATTGGGAGCAAAAGCTTTTCTTTATGCCGTATATTCTTCGGTGAAGGCTGTGAGTGCAGTTAACCGCCTGTTGGAAGCTCTGCCCATTAGAAATTCTGAATTTAAGAAAGATGAGGCCTTGGCCTACGTTTTACTGAGTTCAACCTTTGTTATACTCTGCAGTTTTGCGATCTACATAGCATATGAAATGAAATTCGAGCCACCCCCCCTGCAAGATGCTATGCTTGGCATGGCTCTATTCTTTCCGCATCTTATTTTAGCTGGGTCCGTGAGATTGTACATAGTTTTATCCTGGTTGAGTCGAGGACAGCTAAAAGATCTTAAAAAAAATGTGGAGGAGGAGTTAAGTGTTAATTTGACGATGGACACGGCAAATACTGCTTCCACTTCTGTTACTGTTTTTACGAAGAGCTTGGAAAATTTAAAGACAAAACTCGAGACTCTGGGAGCCAATTTTTTCATTTTTGCCCAGTCATTAAAACATTCTGTGATGTTTCTTTTTGCCATGCATGCAAACTGCCTTTTGGGAGGAATCTATTCCTTAACGTACTACTGGAATACTTGGTACGTTTTGTTCGAGGATCGCAAGCGAAGAATCTTCTATGCGGCAAATGCCTCAATATACGCCTGTATTGCCAGTGATTACATTTGCCTGATGGTTGTATTGTTTACGATGGAGAACGAGGTAAAATGGAGATAATATTCAGATAACATGTTTTGCATAGATATTAACAACTAATTGAAACAATCTCCCAGCGGCGAAACTTTATTGAGGCTATAGATTTCTTGTTGGCACAGAGGAAATTGTTATCAAAAAAATTGCGGCCTATCGCCAAAGATTTAAGAGGTGTTTTAAAAACAAAAGTTTGTTTTAAATTTGATAAGCCTGTTCAATCAAATATCTGTTACGTCTGTTTGGTAAGTTTTTAGATTTGATCCAGAATAGCTATCTTATAAGGTCCTTGCAGATGGTAAGCGCTCAGGTGATAATAATAACATTGATTGTGACTGTTCGTTATCTGAATGACGAAATTTTGTTGCTTAAAGAAGAGATTAGCAGCACGGACGATGATTAATAAGATATTATATAATATATATAAAGTATTTGATGAAGTGCTCTATGTATTTATGTTTTTGTCTTCGTTTTGTTGCCGTCCCACTTCGGTAAGTTCATATTAATTATCATCGTATGCAAACTTAATCCATAAATTCATTTGTTTGCCAGATTCAAACAGGATGGAACAACAAATCACGATTAAGTTGCTAATAAAATGGTTCAAAGAGAAATGTGTGCGATTACGCTAGAGATGAGCAAAGTCCTGGAAAGTACAGCTTCCTGAATAAATTATCCCTCGAAAAGTCGAAGGTGGAATTGAGTTTCAGTACATACTAAGTAGTATACTAAGTAGTATTTTTATTTTGAACGAATTTCTGAACATTGAAACTTACCTAACATCGCACAAAATTTTAATAATTTCCGTTTAGTCTACTGCTTGTAAGAACACGAACAGAAAATTATTCCTTTGGGGTTGCCACCAATTCATTACAACCGTTTTTCAAATCTTTCAATGTGAGATAGCTCGCAGAATGACCGCAAATAAACATAATTCGTGTTTGAATCTACATAATATTTACTGTGATGCCAGCAACCATCCGACCATCCGACCATCCGACCATCCAACCATACAACCCACTCCCGTCCAGGCTGGTGCACCAACCAGATCCATGCATGCAGGTCTATGGAGATGCTGATGAGCAGATAAATTCATTAGGCAAACCAGTGTAATTGTTCCACTAGGGCGACGACGATGCTGGGTCAAAAAGAAAGTGGGGCTTGAGGGTGTGGCGGACATTTGGCTCAGCTGGCAGGGCAGACCAGACGACCGCAGATCTTAAGTTTTACCCCGGAGGCTGGAGTTGGGAGTCACGTAGTCGGAGTTTCCTGCGAAGCGTTACTAAATACAAATTAAACAAATCCATAAATAATGCTTAATAATATTAACATGGATATTAGCAGAAACTGCATACATACACTCCCACTTGGGTACAGATGCTCTCCCTTATTGCATTCAGCTGTAAGTGCATTTCATTAGGCATGGTCTTCGTGGTTTATGGACATGTGGCCTGTGCCAAATGAATGTTTGCACGCACAGTAATTGCACAGGTACGGCTAAAATTATTACTTATTTCTACCTTCTAGTCTTTTAGACATCCCGTTTTTTAATAGAATACACCAAAACACCCCAAATAAATGCATCATGATTTGTTAGCGAATGGTTTATTAACGATGACTTTATTAGACACTTTAAGTGGCGATTTCAAGTTCAAACGATTACTCTTTAAGTGCTTTCACTCGTTGCTTCTTCTTTTTCGCTATTTGCTGCTCTACTCGCAACAGTTGAACTAGTAACTGTTTCTGTCGATACTGTTTCTTTCTGATACTGTAAGAGTTGCCCAATATGCTGTGAGGCTTCTTCGGTGCACTAGGTAACACAATTGTAGGACTTCTTGGTGGAGTTTTAGTCGACGGCTTTGAATAATCTTGTGTGGGTGATAGCTTTTGCGTTGGGAATTTTGAACAATTCGGTCGTTTTGTGATAAGTTTTGCTTGATTAGATAAATATGCAACTGCACCTGATGAGAAATTTTCTTCGTTTTGTTTTCTGGTTATATTCGATATTCCCAATAAAGTTGAGCCATTTTGTGTCCCCCATCCATCAGATTCGGAGAAAGATGAAACTTCATCGGTGCTTTCGGCGGTGGATTTATAGCTAGAAGATTCAGACGAGTCGCTAGAACTGGAAGTGCTGTCGGTAAGGCGTTGCCTTTTTGGATTCGACCGTACAATGATGCTGGAACTTCTTTGAATATTGCTATATTTCAGTAATGACATTTGAGGTTGCGTATTTTTGCTGGCGGAGTACCTTGGCAGACTCGAAGACCAATCTCGTTTGTTAAAACACGTCGATAAGGACATTCCAATTGTCTTAGTCGTCGATCGCATATGCTGAGAATATCTAGGTGGTGAAAGGCTAGAAGACGGGTTTTGAAATGTCGTGAATGGGGAACTTCTGTTGAGTTGACTTTCCCAACCCAAATCTCTGGGTATCGAGGACGAAAGGGTACGGATGGGCCGATTCCCTGCCAATGAGTTATATCGTTCCTGCGCTATTAATACTTCACTGAAGGTTGGCTTTGGAAGCAGTGGAGCACGGTTGTTTACCTCTGGCTGATTCTGTGTGTAGTAGGGATCGTTGTCCATGTCGTTCAGGCCGAACGATATACCCAGGCTTTCAGGCACCCTCGGCATTTTCTCGACCAGTGCCGTTTGGTAGGTATCCATAGATGGTAAGATGTATGTTGGCCACACTACATATTTAAAAACAGTCAATTAATTGGAAAAGTGTCTTTGTTACTTACACAAAATAACTTCAGACTCTAATAAATTATTTATATTATGTATTTGTGTTAGACTTGTATTAAAAACAAACAAATTTGATCGAAATTGGATTTTCTTTGTGGGGTTGGAAATATCTCCCTTTGTGCGTTGCAAACTGTAAGTTTATAATATTCTCCGCAAGCGCTTACAAATTATCCTTTGTTTTAAACGGCATTTAGATATTTCCGGTTTTGAAATAGATCTTCGCATATTATATTATGTATTTTAAATAATGTGAAGGCGTTAAAAAACAAGAGCTCAAAAGATATAGGTGCATTAATACATTTTTTTCTATTTCCCCTCAAAGCCTCAAAAAATGCCACTAGTGTTAATGAAGAGTTTTTAAAGTTTAACGTACCTGGCGTGAAAGGCACTGTAGGCACAGGCAGAAACTTTTTTTCAAACATCACATATTTGCCCAGTTTGTTCATCTTGGGATGACGAAACCTACATTTAGGGCCCCAAATGCAGGTGTTACGTATGTGAAATCGACAAATGGGCATTCTGTTATCATCTTTTTTAATAGTATTACATGAGACTTCATGTTCTTCTCCTGTAAGTTCGCCATCTTCCAAATCAGCATATTCAACCTGATCATCTTCGAATAGCTCACCAGACTCTAACTCACTCACTTTCTTATCCACCATTATATTTCTTTTTGTAAAAGTAGTATTATCAAACTGGCAATGTGACGATTTTTTAATCAAGATATGTTGGGCCCCAACATCTTCGCAGGACACTTCACTATCTTCCACAGCTGATGTCTTATATGCACATTGAATCTTCTGTGCTTCGGAAGTGGTATCTTCGGATAATTCCCCAGGTTCCAGTGTATTGTTATTTTGCTGTTTACAGATAAAGTGATCGCTTCCCTTCCCGGAAACTTTTACATATAAGTCCTTGTCCACAGATTGAACTTTATTTTCCTGCGCTTCCAATATTGTATCATTATTATACAATGTGGATTGAATTACTATATTTTTTTTTCTATTGTGATTTCTTTCTATTAACTCATTCATCTCACAGTTCAACAAAGTATCGTTGCGATTTCCCTCAAGAGCACTTATCGCACTTATGCTATTAATATTGTTAATTTTGCACTCATCTGACGAAAATGCGAGGTGAATATCCTGCGGGTCTTTCATTGTGGAGCAGAATATATCATTGGAATCGAAGTCATCGTCTAGGCCTGCATCACTATTTTCAAATCTATAATTTTCCTTCCTAAATAATTCTGGCGATTGTGAACTGCACTTTCGTGTAGAGCTCATGGTAGATTCTTAAAAGGATTTAAAGTTTAAGTTAAAAGGGTTACCTATTATATCGCTTACCAAAATCCGTTAAGCCATGAAGAGTATAATCGAATGGCTTGTAAACAAAACTGGATTGGGGGGAAGATGGTTGCGAGCCTGCTTGTCCAACAGCAAAAGACATAGTGTTATTTACGGAAGCACTTTTTGAAAAATCCTCCGTTGGCTCAGTTATTCCAAGATTCACAGAAGGAGCAGCTGCGGCTGAGGTAAGCACCAAATGTTAAAAAAATAATCAATTACAATTCATTCAAACCGCTTTCCAAAAAACAACATCTCACCCATGCAGTGATGTTCATTGCGCCTATTTCTAAAAGGTTTTTTATTTTCTCCGTCCATATGTGCATTTTTCTGTTTAAAAAACAAGGAATCCGGTTTTGTTTTTGTCAGCAGGATCGCGTTCTCGTCATTTTCATCAGAATGTGACATCTAAATCTGCCGTAGTTAACAAACCATGTATAAAAATGGTTTAATTTTCTTTCCCAGAAAACGTCTTACCTTCTAGAGTTGTTCTTATTAGCTCGGCCAAGCAATTCATCAATAAACTATGCAAATTTCTTATGTGCCTAAAATTGATGCAAGGAACGTCACATATATATATGTATATTCGATATATTCAATCGAAGCTCGAGTTGCCACGCCAATATTATTGTTAGCGAGGGCACTATCGGTATTACTGAGTGTCGGTATTTATAAATATTTATTTAAGGTCTGAAAGCATCTAGTGTTGTGTAATATCTTTAACCGGCCATTGGTACTTTTGCATATTTTAGTACCTCTTAAATGTTCCCTCTTAATTGTTTTAAATTAAATTTTAGTTTTTTTTTTTAAATTGTATTATCTTTTCCCCAATTTCTATCATATGCCAGACAAATTTTTAAATTTCTCGTTCGCACTTACACTAGCTATTTCAAGTTTATAATTTACAGCTTTTGGGTTTAAGAGAGTAAAACAAAAAAAAAGGAATACCTATTTTAAAAAGTTTTCGGCTAAAGAGTGGGCTTGTTAAAAATGTTCTTGTAATCTTTTGAAACAAAGTTGAGCTGCGTCTACGTCTCTAGAATATGGATGCTAATTGTTATTTTTAAAGCTTATATAGCTCCCGAGATTACAGAGTTCATTAGATTACAGAATGCACTCTTCATAAAATATCAAAGATTTCGATTGCCAGCTTTCTGACTTTATGAAGCAAACCGGCGTATTAATGCCACCGTGATTTGTCCTTTTAAACTATGTATAAAAAAAATAAATGTAGCGAATTAGAAAGACCCGTTTTTGCACAAATACGGAAACATAAGGGCTTTGACCCTAACTTGACTTTAGGAAGGCAAATGGACGTCAATACATATTTTTAACTATGCGACCACAAGATTACACGTTGTACGTTGTATAGCTCAAAAGCGAGCACTAGTCATATCCTGCGTTTAGGGCACCATCGCAACGATTCGAAGGAATATACTATAAGGAAAGAGATTTACAGTTTACCGTTTACGAGAGTAATAAAATACAAACTACGTATGAAAACTATTCCAAAGCCCATATGTTCGTACCTCAAATAAAACAAACAAATCGCCGATATCTAGACCTAACTGGACCACTTTTGTATTATAACCATGGGCGTCATCCTTATTTTTACAAAAATAATCGATGAACATATTTAATATCCAACCAAAGTATTAAATTGTCTGACCAATACTAACTTAAAGGTTCAACTTAACTTCGAATTAGAATTTGCCAAATGGGATAAAAACTTTAAAGTCAGATGCTCAGACCCTGAGTCCAAAGAAAGTGCATGTAATCGATTGGACACATTACATTAAACGCAAAACAAATAAAAATACAATTTATAAATATTCTATAAACATTTTTTTATTGTTAAATAATTGTTTATCTCTGTAAATATATTAAGAGAGATTGAAATATAAAAAAGCCACACTAGTTACGGCCGACATCTTTCTATAGCGAAATTTATAACTTTTATATGTGTATAGCGTACACATAAAAAAATAAATGACGAATGACAATTATACCAAATTTCGGCGTGAGGTCTGTTTGTTGGCGCTAGAGTGGGCGAGTACAAAAAATTGTTGGCATACCGATAAAAACTTGAAAAAAAAAATAAAAAATTTCAACAAGACTAGAATCGGTGTAAAGTACGTAACAGACAGAAGGAAGCGTTTTCGACTTTATAAAGCATATATATTTTTGACTATAAAAAAAAAAAATAGAAAATTGAGATAAGGCTGTTTTTGGGCGGTTTGTGGCGGTAGAGTAGGCGTGGCAAAAAGATTTTGGTAAATCCATAGAAATACACAAGGCTAAAAAAAATTAAAATATATCAAAACATTTTTCAATAGTGTTTTTGGGCGTTAAAGCGGGCAACATCATTTAAAAAACTTGCGCTGCGTCTAAGTCTCTGGAATCTGATTTTTTTTAGCTTTTACCTGAGATCTCGAGGTTCATTCGAACGGGCAGACGGGCATGACCAGTTCGACGGGCTATTGACCCTGATCAAGAATATATATACCTTATATGGTCGGAAACGCTGCCTTTTGCCTGTTACATACTTCTTAATGAATCTGGTATACCCTTTTACTCTACGAGTAACGGGTATAAGAAGTCGACAAGTGAGAGACAATAAGCACAAGGGTCGAGAATTACATGCCGGAGCTGCAATCAATGAATAGAGCGCCAAAAACGCAATGCGGCAAAGAAGTTACCTGACGGAAGGTAAGTGAAGGGGATGTCCCACAGGACTTGTAAATATCAACATCGCAAACAAGTTAAAAGTTTTCCTCTTGTTCTTTGGCATTTGTTTATGTCCGGGTCGAGGCCGGGCCATAATCGTTTCTCATTTCAGTCCTGTGGAGATACCTTAGATAATACTCCCTACTTCCCCGAAGCCACTGAACAAAATTTTCAGAAGAACATAATTATATGACTGATAGTTAAGATTATAAGGCTTAGACTTCGTAAGAAAAACTATATCTAATAAAATTCTCAAAGTCAGATAATAAAACAAGATTGAATGCTATGGTCGAGTTCCCCGAGTCTCCCCGAACGAGAAATATGAACATTTTCTGGAAATATCGGTAGAAATTTAAAAAAATTTTTTGTGCGGATTATGGGCGTGTCAAAAAGTTGTGTTGGAAAATCAATAAAAATTTACAAGACATAAAATGCTTGATAATGCATGCTTTATCTCAACTTCCTAGTTTTTATAGTTCCTGACAATCTTTAAAAGCAAACTTTCAATAATTAGGCGTCACTGGAATCTTCAGGCATTATATGCATTTTTTTAGAAACCTATAATGTATAGAGTGTGTAGTTTTTTACTCATGCTGCCACGCCCACTTAACTCCCACAAACCACCCGAAACAGCCACTCCCACTTTTGAAAATTGTTTATAATTTTTTTGTTAGTCTTGTAAATTTCTATCGATTTACCAAACAAAAATTTGTCACGCCCACATTTTGAAAAATTGTTTGATCTTTTTTCGTTTTATTGTTTGCCCTGCCAATTTTTATCGGTATAACAATAACACTTTGGCCACGCCCATTCTAACGCTAACTAGGAACTCGACTCCACCGTTCTCTTTTGTTTGTATACCCGAATTTGTATAGCGAATTCGTTAAAGGAAGAGCTTCGGACCCTTTAAAGTATTTATATTATTTATCAGGGTCATTAGACGAGTCGATTTGGCTTGTCCGTCCGTCTGTCCGTATGAACGTTGTGATCTCGATAGAATGATAGAATCAAACCGAGAGAGTTGGAATTAATCATGCAGAATCCAGAGACAAAGCTCACGCCAACTTTATTTACATTTCTTAATTTTTCGTTTTTGTTTGTTAAATTTTTATTGCTATGCCAATAATATTATATCTTCCCAGCTCTCCCAATAGTCGAGTAACCGGTATCTAATATTCGAGGAAATATTTTTTTCGAAGTGTGCACTGTGCTCTTACTTTTAATACGAAACAAGGGCGCAATTTAGTTTTGAACGTAATTTCTTTTAATAGCGTTACTCGTCAGATAAAATTTTTCATGGGGTGAGTACCAAGCCCCAACAAGATGTCGCGCCCTGATATTGGTACTGTACTTCGGGAGCTCGGTAACAAGCCTTCAGCTTCCCACTCCACCGCGGTTCAAGGAAGGTCTCTGTTTTAGCGGATATCGCAAGTAAATTGCTCAGTTTGGGCCATGTCCAGGGGCCTAAGGTTGGCGTCTCTTTGGTTTGTTTTATTGGAGGTAAGGGCGTTTCGGTCGGGAAAGGTTTCCAACGGCTGACGTTTTCTGGGACATGACGATTTCATTTGCATTTTATGATAATTGCACTTTATAAATATGTCACGGCATCATCTTAAGGGTGCCAGAGGAAACCTCTAGGCTGGTCCCTTTACATTCTGGGTGCCATACACTTCAAAATTATGTTGAAGTGTCACCATTAATTTTAAATACTTATGGCCGTGTGGGTCGCACTATAAACTAATGAGTAGATGCCGACGACTGCAGTTAAAGTATGTTAAATACTTTACTTTTTATATGCAGCGTACGACAAAGGGATAATTTATGCGAATTTGTAAGCGTTTTGCACTTGTGCTCCACAAAAATAACTAGTATTTATACTTTTACCTGGGACTTCAGCAAGACTAGTTTACAAATATTAAAATACAGGTTCTTAGTCTGTTTTTGTATGTTAGTTTGTCAGGCATTCACACTTTAACCTTGTGCAAATCCCTTTTTATATTGCTCATCCTATCTTAGAAACTGTATAGTTCCTGATAAGTCGAGTTCCTCGACTATCAGATACCCGTTACTCACCGTTCATACGGACAGACGGACGGAAGGCGGACATTGCCAGATCGACTCCGCTATTGGTCCTGATCAATATACTTATACATTGTACAATATATTATTTATACTTCCTTCCTTCAGGCGCTCTTCGTCATTTCTTAGCATATATGTATGTATCTTAACTTACAGCTTAAGATACTCGTAACATAGATAAAAAGATGCGGCATAGATGTATGTTGGAAAGTGATACTTTCCGACATTGCACACGAAAACCATTTATAGCTCACGGCACTATTAGGCTTTGGTATATAACACTATGTAAAATATACAATTCAATAAATCCTCAGAAGCTACCATTCGTATTTACTTTTGTAAAATAAGACGCCAAGTAATCTGAACTTATTTAACTTTTATCATTACCAATTAGGATTACCCTCAATGCGTATCTTCCGTGCACGAAAGCACAATTTCCGGACGTCTTACGTCTTACCCCTCTGTAAGCCAACGGCGAATAAGCTGAGATTTCTGCTCCATAACTCAACCAGTCAGCTCTCACCCTATTCACCCTTTCATGGCTCAACGTAAAAATAAACATTTAACGCCTCATTAGAATCGAGACATCCTAATGTCCTAGAAGCAATTGCCGACGCATCCATCTCTGGGGCGGCTCTACATGAGTCAGCAACAAGACGCAGGCAATGAGTTAACTCCGGCATAAACAGAATATATGGCCGCAAAATCCCAGAAGCGCCTAGCAGGGAATGAATATTAATGAGACGTCGTCAGTCTTTCGTCAAATTAAAACACAGCTCCAACGG